ACCGCGTCGCTGAAAGTTCAGTTTTAGCGATGCGAGCAACTGACAGTGTCACTAAAAATAGGTTTTAGCGATGTGTTTGTAACATGTCGCTAAAACTGCGTCGCAAAAAGGCTCTTTTCTTGTAGCGTAAGAAGAACGGTATTATTAGTCCTTCCTTCTCCACTTTGTTCTCAAGAACATAGTCCGAAATTTTCCCGGGGGTGAAATTTTACGAAGTTAACTTTTTGTATATAGAAACTTTGGGAGGGGCAAATAAGTGAAAAACTAAGAAATCTTAGGTATTTGGCCAAGGGAAAATGCTCCCTCCTTGCTTCTTCGCTCTGTCCTTATTTGTCGTGACATCCAAACACGTATAATTTAACGGTAATTAAAAGTAATGATTTTTTTTTCTTTTGGAAGTGGGGTTTTTTTCCTTTCTTTTGTTGCAATTTGTGAAGGTGGCCACCCATGTGAACGTGGGCATGCAATTTTGGGAACAACATCGCAAGCAAAAGCTCCACTTAATTCTCCTCTTGTGCGCATGCTCTCTATTGCTCTTTAAACACATCAAATAGTTGAGTTCTTTTTTCTTTCTTTCTTGAGTGTGACTCTCCCCTTCCCTCTCTAATATAATTGCAAAAACTTCCTTTTCTTTTGTTTGTTTTTTTCAACAAATAGTTTTGAGTGGTTTTTGCTGTCCATTTCTAAAGAGAAAAAGACTTGGTTTTTATTCTTTTTTCTCATCTTTTTGTAGGCAAGATAAAGCACTTTGCTACACATAAAGGGCACAGCCCAACATCTCCATATTCCTTGTTTTTTTTCCAACCCACTTTAGAGGGTGAGGAGAGGAAATATGGTATTGAATGAAATGAAGAGTAAGTGTTTGGTGAAAATGGATTGATTAGTATGTATTCCCCCTTTTTTTTTTATTTGGATCTTTTTGTAAGGATTCCACGTTCAAAGATAAGCGGTCTAACAAAAATTTATAATAGACATGGACTATTTATTTCATTCCAATTGGTTTTGAAATAGAACCCTATGAATATTTGATATGGTATTAAAGTCCAAAATGTTCAAACGAGCATCCGATCAAAAAGTAGGATCTAGTCAAGATCGATGTTTCAAAAGAACTACGATTTTGAGGGGTATGTTAAAGATTCCACATTAAAAAGATACAGGACTTAAGAAAGGTTTATATATATACCTGGAATACTTTTCTCATTGTCATTTTGAGATGGAACTCCATGAATATTGATACTATTTACTTTTTTTTCACCTTGATAGTGAAAGCATCGTCAATCAATCCATTTCAAAATTGTAATTTGATTTGTGAAACGATTCAAGTATAGTTATATATACTCATAAAATTTTTTTAGTCCTTTTTAAATATCTTTTAACACTTTATATAAGGAGAGATACAAAGTTAAATTAGTAACTTAGCTTAAAAGTTTAAGGTAACTCCGCATAGGTATATTTAGTTTCCTTAATATATCAAACAAAAATTCCTTCTTCACAAGGGAAATATTGTACGAAAATTTTAGGTTGATATCATTGATAGGAAGACATCTTAATTAGTCCGTGCTCATGAATTTTGTAGTATTATTCTCAAATTGCACAGACTCGCCTCTAGGTCGTTTCGAGTTTCCTCGATTTACTTCGACCCAACTCTCTCAATAAAAGCTTTTTCATTACTCAACATAGACGAAGCAACAAATAATTGCTCACTTTTTTTTCGAATAAAAGAAGATTGTATTAAAGATATCAACCACGTATGTTGGGTGTGTTGCGCTAAACTCATAGTTTGTAATTATGTAAAAACAGATTTATATTCAATAAAGTTATGTTTTCATATTCAATCAAATTGTTGTTGAATTCATTGTCCAAATCCAATAAACTAAACATCCAAGGTTATTTTCATGTAACCGGGACAGTATATATATATGCTGGATATATATTTGATGTACCATCGATATACATGTATGTCCCGGGAATAATCTAAAGGGTCTATAGTATATGGATAAGGATGGAAACCTTATCCTGGAAATACTATGAATACTGTCCACTTTGTAAATGTTACAAACGATCCGATTCAGGTCGTTTGTGTGGAGACATGCAAGTGGGAGTATCCTTTACAATGAGTTTGTATAAGACCAGACCACGAAATAGTCAATCTTTAGATGTAACGTCATTAACTAATATATTACTATTTCATAGGATGACCAAGCAACTCATTCTGATCAATCCTGAGTGAGTTATGGACTCTTGCCCGTGAGGGCTTGTCCTTTGATCAGCATAGGTGAGAGTGGCCGAGTCGCCGACTCAACATTCCTACCATTTTGGGGACGAGATTGAGTGGAGAACTGGGAACTTAACTACACAAGACGAAATTCACTCCTTTTCGACTTTAGGGAAGTAGATGAGTGTTCTCATAAGTGCTGACTCTGGGACTTGAATAAGGGGCCTCACCCTCTCACTAACCCAAGAGGGACTTCCTGTTATTGGTTGAACCATAACTGGGTTGTTCATTGAATGAGTAGTGGTATTTAAGGAGCAAGATGTAATTCAGGGGTAAAATGATAATTTGACCCAGCTAGAATTACGAACACTCGTGAAGGATTGACTTGCCGTTAATGGTCGTATATCCGTTGATACGAAAAAATTCTACAGTGAGAAGAGTGCAGCTGCGAGTCTTTAGTGGAGTGACTTGTAGTTAACAAATGTTGATTAACTCGGTTAATGAGTTTGACCAATTAATCTCATATCGTTGAAGTTTCTGATCTGTAGGTCCATTAGGTCCCCTTGCTAGCTCACAATGAGTAAAATGATAATCAAGTTTCTTGGAAGAATTTGAAAATTTTAAATCGCTCAAGGGATTATATACATACATATATTTTCATACATTATATATATGGTTAATTTTAGATTAAAACTATATATTATAAGAGAAATTATTTGAGTGAGATTAAAATTAATATGAATAGGATTCATATTAAAACTATAGGTTAAAAAGGTTAAAAATAATCATTACAACTATATGTTATACAAGAGAAATGCTTTAAAATATTATTCTATTTTTATAATAAATAATTCACTGTTAATTATTTATTTAATTAATATATATAATTAATTATTAATAAGATTAATTAATTAATAATAATATTAAATTAAACACTCCCTCCTCGATTTGCAAGGAGTGGGGAGTCTATAGTTCCCACGTCATTGATCAATCAAATATGTAGGGATGGCTATTTATAAATTAATAATTTAATTGAAAATTAAAATAAGGTCCCTGCATATCCTTCCTCTGCATGGATTCTGGTGAAAGCGCTAGAAAGAGGAAAGAAAGGATTGTCCACCATCAAGTATCAAGTWGCTGGGGGGACTTCTTTCTGTAAGATCCGGGTAGATAAGTAGCTCGACTCGAAGAGGAGAGGGAGGGTGAACATACTTTTTTTTGAAAGCATTGAGTTGGGCAAAAAGAGGGGGGAAAGAGTTTTAAATGAATTTGGTGTACATGCTAGCAGTAGAGATTGAAAAAGTGTCTAGAAAATTTAGCGACGAATTTTCGTTGAATCAGGAGAGGGTGCAGGAAATAGAAAATGAAGTGCTAGGGGAAAGAATTTTCTCCTTTGAAACTCGTACTCATAGAAAAAGGATGAAAGGTTTGAAGAATGTCTCTCTGTTTTTCTATGTATGTGTGTGTGTATATATATATGTTTTTCTAGTACAACATGTGGGGAGGAGTTTCGAACTCACAACCTCATGGTTGGAAGTAGGTGTCAATTACCACTGAGCTATGCTCACTTTGGAATGATCGCTCACTTATTGTTAGCGAAAGATACGTTCTTTTGTATCAACTATTTTACTTAACTAAGGTGAAATAAGTTTACATTAATTGTGTAATTGAGTGAGAAGTATTTTTATGGGTTATGTTGAGAATTAAATTTACGAAACCCATCAGCTTAAACCTTTGGGTTAGGTGGTGGTTTATTCATCTTTGAGATGGTATTAGAGCGGGAGGTATGAAGTTTTATGCAACATATTCTATTATTTATTTACTCTCCTACTATTTTAGGGGATTTTTGTTTTTGTTTGTTTTTTTTTACCGATTCAACTATTGTAGGGTGGAGATCAAACCATTATCCAATACTATGTTCAAATTAATTTAGGAGATTTTTGTATTTCAATACCTAACACTTTGAAAGTCACATTTACTTCTCACTAAACTCTTTACATTTACACCTTCATCTTCGTCGTTAAAATTGTACTTCTTTTATAATTATGATATTTCCATCATTTCTCTCCCTTAGAGTGCCTTCAATGAAATGGTGTTCTTATTAATTTTAATAAAAGAAAGTTAAACAAAAAAAAATTGTAGTTTTCTTCTAATATTTTCCTCCTATTTTTTTAAAATAAAAGATTATATATATGAAATAGTATCTAGAATTTTTCTCTCTATAAAATTCGACTTACCTCTCATTCTATGAGAATAGTGATGTTAAATAATCATGGTAATAGTGATTTCAGTTTTTTTAGTACAATAAGTGGAGTGAGGGATCGAACTCACAAGTTTTTGATTGGAGATATATGTCAATTACCGTTAAGTTATGCTCGCTTTAATAGTGATCTTTGACTGGACAAAACAAATTGGCACGTGCAACAATACTATTTCTTGAAGCTATGTATTAAATCTCTTTTATAAACTATGGCGTTAAACTAATTAATAGACGTACCAAGACTAAATTTGTAAATTGCCAAAAAAAAAATGTTCACCATGTTTGAACTCCAACATCCATCTCACATTCATAAAACAATATAAATCTTTTTTAGATTTATAGATAATAAAAAATTATAAAAAAAAATCAGTCAAACCCACGGAAAGCTAGAGAAGACGGTGGGTTTTCTTTTTTTTTTTCTTCGCCAAACTTTTACAATGAAATGCTAACATTACCCGCTCGTCATTTATCCCGGAGAGCTTGGAAGAAGAATCCACCTCTCTTTCACCCTCCATATGTCACAGTCTCAAATCCCCCGCCCCAAACCCTCCATTAACAAAAATAACCCACCTCAACGCCCTGTAACTTTAACACGCAGACCCCTTCTCACCGGCGGGTTATTTTCATTCTGTCCCCGTTACTATAACCGAACCAAGCTCTTGCTTCGCACTCATAATATTAATATATAAAAGAAAAATCATTATAGAGCTAGAGAGAGAGAAAGAAAAGAGAGAGAGAGTTCATGGAGAAGAAGAAGATGGGGTTTGAAGAGACGGAGCTCCGGCTAGGTCTGCCGGGAAACAATAACAACACCGGCGGTGGCAGCGAGTCGGGCGAGGCAGCGGTGGCAGCGGCTCGTAAACGAGGCTTTGCTGAAACCGAGACGGTTTCCAAAGTTGATCTCAAGCTTAACCTTTCCTCAAAGGAAGCTGCTCCAGTGGTGGCGGACGATGTTGTCGTTGATCCCGACTCTGGGAAGAAAGAGAAATCCCACCTCGCCGGGGATCCGGCCAAGCCTCCGGCTAAGTATATATAACTTCCACCGCCTTTTAAAAAATTATTCAATGCTCAAATTATATTTTTTAATTTCTCTCTCGTACATGCAACCATGTAAAACTGTGCGTAGGGCGCAGGTGGTGGGATGGCCACCCGTCCGATCATTCCGAAAGAACAACATGTTGGCTTTTGTGAAGGTGAGCATGGACGGGGCACCATATCTGCGTAAAGTGGACTTGAAGATGTACAAGAGCTACAAACAGCTCTCCGATGCTCTCGCTGCCATGTTTGGCTCCTTCACCACCATTGGTAAGTTGCACACTCCCTCACTCTTTTAAACTCACCGAGAATTCTTCTTTTTTTTCAGTCAGACGTTGTTTTGAGTTTGTTGAGTTCTGATATCATATCAAATTTCAGCTCATACATCTTATAAGACAAACTAAGGAATCGTTTCTTCGCTAATTACATAAATGGCAACTTCTTGACGAAACCCGGGTTTTGTTTTTGTTTTTGGAGGTAACTGTGGGGCTCAAGAAATGACGAAGGATTTGATGAACGAGAGTAAGTTGATGGATGTTCTGAGTGGCTCTGATTATGTTCCAACCTATGAAGACAAAGATGGTGATTGGATGCTGGTCGGAGATGTTCCTTGGGAGTGAGTTTTTTTTTTTTTTCTTTCCTTTTTTTGAGCCATTGATTTTAATTTTTATGTACCAAAATTCATTTCATCAAACATAATCAATAATTTCTTGAATAATTTGAAAAATATTTTTGATTCATTTTGTTTATGGAAATATTATAGGATGTTTGTTCAATCCTGCAAGCGTCTGCGCATCATGAAGGGGAAGGAGGCCATAGGACTTGGTAAGTTTTTCCATTTCTAAAAATTCTTTTAAAAATTATAATATAAATTTTCTTTAACCCTAAATCAATAATTTTTGGGGAATTTTTTTTCCCCTTAAAATACAAATTTTTTTATTGTATTTTGTAATTTTAGAAAATGGGTTTGTGAGTGAGGTTTATAGATATTATAGGTAGTTACAAATACTTGTTTCAATTATTTTTAAAAGTTTTGTACAAGAATATAGAAATGTATTAAATTACTACCACTATACTTATAATGTTTAGATTTGTAGTCTTTCTAGTTTTTCATTCTTGGTTATTCCCATTCACTTGTGAGCAAGAATATATTAATTAAAAGCTTAAGATCTTCCCTTTCGTCTTAATTAAAAAATCATGTTAATTAAGAAAAACTATCTGAGAATACATGTGAGCCTTATTAGATCTGACTAATTGTTCATCCTACCTCTTCTAGGTCATTGTTGACAACCCATCTTTATTTTCAATAGAGTTTAGTGGCAATGTTAATGTTTGATAATGACAGAGATATTTCTAGAGATTCAACGACTAAATTATAAGAACTACATTTAAATATTATAATTATAAAGATAAAATTGAAATGATGTAGAACATGTAATTAAGACTAAAATGAGATTTTAACTATTAGGTAAACTCATTTGAAAGGAATCTACTAATAAAAATTGAGTTCTTATGCAAAACATGTTTCCGCTTAACTGGCATTCGAAATGATGCATTAGGCTTTTTTCTTTCTCACAACTCTCGTCGCTAAACCGACCTTTAATTTTTCTCTCTTCGAACCAGCACCAAGGGCCATGGAGAAATGCAAGAATAGAAGCTAAAGCAAGAAAATCAAAGCCAGCATCAAACCTGTAGCTTCTATCGATCCAATCTCAAGTCTCGACTCGCCTCGATTATTGAAACACCGATGATCTAGAACAAGTCATAGATTCAAATATAGGATTTGAGGAAGAATTCAGGTGGGTTGTTTGGATGTTTCATGTATCATTAAGTTGTAATATTATTCTATACCAAGATGTGAAACCCTTCTAAGTAGTAGTTTTTATATATTTGTCTCATACATACTTTATTGTTTAAGTTCCAAGACTTGGGCTTGAGATTTGTCTAACAAAACCTTTTGTTTTAAGTATTGCTTGGATTTGAGTTTAAATAATAAACTCCATATATGTTTGCTTGTAGTTATATCATATGATTCATTTTATTCATTACTTTATTGATGATATAATTTCTCAATGATTGGATTCTTGAAATTTCTTCACAAATATTATATATTATATAATTTTAATGGCTCATACAAAACATAGAGGGGAGGCCAATAATTAAATGGGAAATGTTGAGTATAGGGAACAAGATCATGTGGATGTTGAGGAAGGGCATTTATGTGAATGACCCATTTATGTTTATGTTATATAGTGAAAGATGTCTCTATTTTGATGCTAATAATGCAATGGCCTAAGCTTTTAATGAATTAAAGACCAAACACTTCAAACTTTGGTATTAATCATCCCTTTTTTATGTCTCTATTTGGTCTCTCACCCACATGTGGATGTTGACCATGTGTTCGTCGAGTAATTATGCATCGCGTGTGCCCGTTTTCTGGGTGTCCTTCCATGTGATATTTTTTTCACTTTTGCTTTAGTTTTTATCGAAATGAATAAGGGGTTCTCTTTTTCAAATTTTCGTTGTTCGATTTTTGAGAAAATAAATTCACATTTTCACATCTTTATGTACGTGTTTTTTTTGTTTCTTTTTCCAATCAAGTTTGTGATGTGTTAAAGTTCTTAGATTCCATATGATATTAAAATGTATGTTATTAATTGAGTTGTGGAAATATCGTAGGATTTAATTTTGATGAAATAGTCATTATTTAGAAAATGGAAAAAAAAAGAAAAAAAAAATCTTCCTAGTTTATATATATGATCAGTAATAATTTACTCAACTTGAGAATGACTTGTTATTGACAATGGTCGACTCATTACTACTATAAAATTTGATCTCTACAGATAGAGCATAACTTTTTTGTTTAGTTGACGTCTGTGAAAAAGAAAAATATTAATAAAAGTTTAATTTTCACCTTTTTTTTTTAATACGTATATTGACAGCTATATAAAACATCAACAAATGTCTATATTAAAGTCGACAGTTTATCACATGATAAACCGTCAATTTTTATAAACTTTTGTTGACGTCAATTCCGACCCTCATATATAAAAATATCATAATTTTCCAACTCACATAGCTTTCTTTATTAAATATTTATTGACAACGAAAACTTGTGCACAAAAGAAATCGGAGATGGAATTGAAAAATGACACGCATTATATATCCTAAAGTATATGTTTAGTCAAAATTTTAACGTATTCAAA